TATATTATTAATATATATTATTCCTGCCTAAAATCACTTTCCTCTTTGGCATGCCTGACTGTAGTTTCGTTTTTTTTTTTGTCAAGCTACCTCCACTTCCAGTCAGACTCCAGGCCCGATTCAGACTCCAAGTCCCTCAGTTTATCGCATTTATTGCTTCATGGGGTCTCAATTAAGCTGTTAAAACCAGTTGGGGCAATCTATCGCTCGGCATTAAAGCCAATCAATAATTTACTGCTAGCTGCCCCTCCTCCCCCCATCCGCGTTTTTCCCCTCCAAAATGCCAATGACCAGTGTCCAGAGCACAGGATGAGCTCAATCAGCCACTGACAGGAGAAGACTTAAGATGGCGTCCACCAAAGAAAAAAAAAAGAAGGAACACAATCTGCTGAAAATCCGGAGATGTTACGGCACACGCATGATGATTCCACTCGAGGATTAGAACCGTCCGAGTGCTTCTAATTGCAAAGAGATACCAGTTGATGGAGAAAGGAATTGATTCGCAAGCTGCCAGTCCGAAATTGGCCATAATCGCAAGGGATACACGTACCAAAAACCAGCGGGGAGTCTACTTTATAGATTTTCATTCAACAAGGGGGAGTACAAAGAATCAATATAATTGGAGATATAGTTAGGATTAAGCTTTATGGGAGAGTTGACTATAAAATGGAAAGACGTGCCAGAAATAAACATGAAAATATTGGCACTATATTTGGGTTTAGTATCTCTGAAACTTAAATGTCGAAAACGGTCATGTTTAGATGAAAACTGAAAGATACAAAAAAGGAATATGGTTGTATAGTAAAATATTGGTAAAATAGTATAAAATACTACTTTTAAGGGTTTCTAGATGCTATCTGAAGCTCTATTGAAGCTATTACTATTAATATTGAAGCTATTGAAGTTCTTTAAAAACCTTATAAAGAAGATTGAGTTTTAAAAAAACCCACCAAACTTAGCAAATTTTGGAAATAGACTCTTAAAAGCTAGGATTATTTTTCATAATTTATATTATGTGTTCTACTTCTTATAATGTATTACCTTCTTTACCCTATTTATAAGGTTTTTTTGTTATTGAAAACTCACAGAGCTTCTGACAACTGGGATTTGATCCTCTTACTCATTTTATTTTATTTTTTTTTTCCAATTGTGAAATATGAAACTGTGATTCATTGACTAAGAAATGAGAAATATAATGAATCATGGAAATAAAATTCAAAATAATTAAATGTATGTTTGATATATTATATGACTTTTAATTGTGGGCTTAAAATGGGAGGTAATTTTTGATTTTAATAATCTTGTAAACTATACTATATACTTACTTATTGATATTGTTGGTAGTATAATAGACTAATCTATATTATACTTCCATAATATACAACCATAGAGGATAACAAACTCATGTTAGAGATCTTAATGTTTTAATACCTACAAAGTTAAACTTTTAAAAAGGATATATTCATTATTAAATAAAGACCAATATTTATGCTTTTTTAAACAATAGAATTTCAGAATGAAAAATGTTATGAAAATGTAAGACCTGTGTATGTATATTCAAATGAAGATTCTTTTAGAGACAATAAAATTTAAACCTAAAGATACTTTTTTTGAAAGGCAAAAATAACCATTCTTTTGAAGACATTAAATTCTTCTGGAAAATGCATTTAAAAGTTTGTTTTGTTTGGCTATTCCTTCGGGTTAACTGGAAAGCTATCACGTAGTCGGGAAAGCAGATAAATTTGGAAAATTTTCGCACTTTGAATGCGAAACTAGAAGTCTCTCTGCTCCCACAATCTTTTACAAAGAAAGTCGGATGAACCGAAGTTTGCTGTTCTTTCCACGTTGAGCGTTATCCGTTAGATCAGCATTGTTAGTTTCGTGGGCTAAGCAAAAAACGGAAACCGGGAACGAGAACGGTGTTGAGCGGTTGTTGTTCTTGGGGCTTGTTGCCACTGATTGGAGAGCTTTTTCGCTAAAAAGTACAAAAAATAAACAAGAGTCTCGAGGGCCGGCTGATTGTTGCGTCGATATTTCAATTCCGAGGCGATAGCGTGCGAAGGGGGGGCCATTGATATAAAAGGCGAACGCCTACGTGCAAGTATGCAATTTCTGCTGGCGGAAACTGCATGCATTTTGCGATTACAGGCAACCAAAAAAAAAAGTGATTGCATCGCCCAAAATCACAACGTCAGAACGTCGTTCTGGAAGTTTGTTTGCACATAGTATTATGTGCCTTGTTTGTACATGGCTTTTTTTTTTAGGTAAGGAGTCACTTATATAACCTCTCCATGCGTGTTTAAATAGACCTCCCTATGTATTCTACCTTTGTACCCGTCCTCTATTCGTAAACTAACAAAGAAACGGCTGGCAAAGCAAAAGAGCCAAGCAACGCCAGCAGCGACGTCAACGCCGACGCCGACGTCGAAGTCGGAGCAAGCAGAGCCCGTAAAAGAGCGGACAACGCAAAGAGAGCGAAACGCCCCCATACAAAGAGAGAAATAAAACAAGCAGCCGGTAGAGCGAGATAGAGAATACTTCGGCTCAGCTGATGGCCAATGAGAGGGCAGAACGAAAAAGAAAACGAAGACGAACGAGAGTAAATAGAGGGCGAGCGAGTACATAGCGTGCGAATAGCGGGCAAGAGCGAACAAAGACCAAGCAAGTCTCATTCGAAGGAAAGCCGTTGAACGGATTGGACGTGCGCTCGGTCGTTCCAATTTTATCGCTAACCAAACAGAGTGAACCGACCACTATCGCAGCCGCGATAGTGGCCAAGTAGAGTGAAACACATGTGCCCTTGGATGAAGTTTGGAAAATAAAATAAATAAAAATAGTGTAAGAGTGTAAACTACATTCAATGTAAATTACCAATAATACAGGCAGTTGCAACCAGAAGGTTTTCTTTGTGTCTCGGTTCTTGTGTGACAAATGCAGCTAACAACAACAACAACATCAGTCGGCTGCCTTATATACGACGCGTGTGAGTGTGTGTGTGTGTGTGCGCGCTGAAAACATAGAGCAAAGCATAATACACAATAAAGAGGCTCCGAAAGAGGAGCAACCGAAAGTGCCAGCGCGTGTTTGTGTTTATGTGAGAGTTGGAGATTGGAGATATAGTAGTGCAAAGAGTTCAAAAACGAAAAACGAAACCAAAAACGAAATCCAAAATAAGCAACGACATGAAACGCTGAGTTAGCATTCAAACTGGATTATTTACACAGCCATCCTCATACTTGGATTATTTCTGCCATTGGATATATATATATAGAACCCACCACGATGCCAATTAACTGGCTGGATTAGCGGTGTGAAAATAAATTGAAAGGTAAATACCAAGATTTTTATTTTTATTTTTGGGGGGGCACTCCACTCACGTTAACCAACACCAACCTTTACCGGCAGCTGTTGCGCTCTCCACATCTCTCTTTCTATCGTGGGCTATCCCCCACCTCCACCCACTTTTATTGTGATTGTGTCGTCTCGTTACCCAAAATGAGAATTTCGATTGGACACTCGACAATTGAGGAAGTCTCCACCTAAAAAAGGCATTTTATGTGTGCGTGTGGGCGCCAACTGCTGATTTTCTTCAACTTTGTTTTGCTGTCAGCTTCGCAACGTTTTCGGTTTTTATGATTATATGGTATATATGGTTATGGTATGTACTGTGTTTTTTTCTTTTCTGAATGAAAGTGGCTCATGTCTGTGTTTGTACAAAAAAAAAAAAAAAAAAGATAAAGCCACGGTCTCGGCTTTAGGGTCTGCTTTGCATTCTCCGAATTTTGTAGCTGCTATTTTTTTTTTTTTTTTTTTCCCGCTGCATTGTCATAGTCTCGTTCCCGACTACCTCCCTGCCCATCCATCCCTACCTTACGGCTTACCATCCCTTCCCAACACACACACACTCTCACTCGCACACGCACACCACACACACAAATGAGAAATTCCGCTGCTTTTTATTATCCTTTTCATGTTGGTACTCACATTTTTTTTTTTTTTGCGCGCGCTCGTTTCCACCTCCCATGCCCAGAATCCAGAATCTTCCCGACCATGGGAATGGGATCACAAGAAAGGGTTCTACCCATCACCAGTTCTGCTGGCTCCTTTGGTTCCTTACTTTTCGCTGATTCCCTCACACAGTCCCACGAAACACTTAAATGTGATGTAAAAAGGATTTAAAGAGGCTTCCTCCTGCCAGCCTGCCAGGGTTGCCTGCCTGTTTGCCTGCCTGCCTCCTGATGCCGGCACATCCATTCATTCATTCATATTCCATTTCCATATTTTCTCTCTCTCTCTATGTATGTTTTCGGTTTAAAGTCTGTGTGGGGGGTTGGGTGGGAAAAGTTTTTCTTTTTTTTTTTTTTTTGGGAAAAGTTTGACTTTTAACTGGCGCGTTGATGCAAGAGAGACTTGAAATTGTTTGAAAATACATTTCTCGTATTACCACATGTACTTGCGTTTGCCATTCATTCTATTAACTCTTTTTTTTTTTTTATTGGATATATTTTTTTTTTAACGTCTGTTGAAATGCAAAATAACTCCCCCGAGTGCTATGGATTTCAATATGAGGCTGGTTGGTTGGTTGGTCGGAGGGGTAGGGTAGGGCATTCCCATGGCAACTACCTACCAACATCCATTATCGAAATCCGCATTTAAAAGCATATATGTATCAGGCTGGCAGGCATATCGTTTGTATAAAAAAAAAATAAATAAAAATTTAAAAAAAACAGCTGATTCAGCAAGAAGCTAGCCAGCCAGAGAGAGAGAAAAAAACTCCCACACTAAATTGCACTAGAAACGATCCATGGGTTCATTAACTCTTCAAGTTTTCCCAGAAAATGTTATTCGCTTTTCCAGCTCTGGCTTTTCCACCTCAGTTGTTGTTGTTGGTATATTTTTAGTCTTTGGCTTATATATATTTTCTCATTTAATTGCAACTTCTTGTCTTTTATTCACAGAAATCGAGAAACGAGAGCGAGATTATAGCGAGACCTACTATGATGACGCCAGAGTCGAAAGCCACCGTCATACCCTCAAAGACAACAACAACAACAATGGTACCGCCTGGTATAGCAACCGCTAGCATGGCTCATGCCCAGAAATCAGCAACTGCAACAAAAAGCATTGTTGTCAGCAATGCAAATAGCAGTGCCAGTGGCAACAACAACAACAATAACAACAATGCTGGTAAAAAGTTGCCTTTGTCTCAGAAAGCAACTGCTGCAACTGCAGCAACAAAAACAACTAATGTTGCTGATAGGCAAAAGCAACAACAACAACACCAGCAACTTTTTCAAGCCAACGGCATTAAAGTAAAAAGTGAAAACACATTAGCAGCAACACTTCATGCCGCAAGCAAAGTCAGCAATGTTGCAACAACAAAAACGCTGTTAGAGAATGGCATTAAGAAGGAATCAACGCCGCCAGCAGCAGAGCAGCAGTCCACAGTAGAGGCCTCCAGCTCCTCCTCCTCTTCATCATCGTCCTCCTCCTCCTCATCCTCATCCTGGTCGCTGACTCGAAGGGCAGCGTCCGAAGAGGCCAGCAGCAATGGTGGCGCCTCGGCAGATGAGGAGGCAGCCGTGGAGGAAACGGCGACAACGACTTCCGATTTGGCCACAACTTCAAGGCCACGCCCCGTTCTCCTTACGGCCGTTAATCCGCACATCATTTGTCACCTTTGCACGGGCTATCTGGTGGATGCCACAACCATAGTCGAGTGTCTGCACTCTTGTAAGTATCTATCTATCTATCTATCTATCTTGTATTAGATTGTATCTATAAAATTGTATCTTTAAAGTTGAAAAGTCTGAATGAATGAAAATTAGCCAAGCAGACACACAATCGTCTGAGCCACAACTTTGTCCAAAGAGTCAATAGAACCCCCTCGATACCAATTCTCCTGTTAATCAAAAGAAGCATTGAGCCTTTGTGCCTCAAAAGGAGTGCACTCTGGAGTCTTTCTTTGCCAATTTAGTTACCATTTTGTTGATAAAACTTTAAGGTTTTAAAGCAAGTCCTTTAAGTCCTCTGAACTTTCGACAGTATCTGCCATTTGTTAATCCCTTTCACTGTCGAAAGTATCTACTTTCGTCTTAGACGTTGCATTTAATCGTTTTGGCTTAATTAGAATGGCAACGGCGTCCGTTTGTGCCGCCACTTGGGTGGTGGCCACTACCTCCCACACCCTCTAGGATGCTCAGCGAAATTGCCTAGACGTGATGAGTTATGTACTGAGCGCGGGGTGGGGGGAGGACTTTCAGGAAATGGTAAGGGCGGGGTGGCATGATGCCTGTGGTGGCAGGATGGCGCAGATGTTGCCGGGCGATAAGTTTGTGGGCACATTAATGGTCTCCCGGGCTCTAAGTACTTGGCTCGCGATTGATTGAGAAACCAGCAAGAGAGAGCTCCAGCCTTCAGCCTCCAGCGGATTAGTCGCAAAAGATATTAACACAACATTAGCATGCCGGATGGGCCATACTGTAAATGCAATAAAAGCCAACTTACATAGCCATAGATCACCCAGGCCAACCAAAACTTGAATTTACATTCTCACCCTCACGAGCTGGACTGACCCATCGTCCATTTCTCATCCCCCTACTACTGACTCGAACCCAAATCTGGCCGAAAACCAATGTGTTGATAATGGACAGTGGATACATTTGGTCAGGCTCATTTAAATCTGTTGCCAGCCAGGGACGTCCCAGACACAGATACACAGATACAGATACAAAGATACTTAGTTACGTATGTAGAGCACCCGGGAGTCCCATCTAACTGTCAAACAGAGCCAACCGAACCGGACTGTGTACACTGTTTACCGGCGACTGGACTTGGGGTACCGATGGATACGACTAGGTACTAAGAGCTGGCAACTGGGAACTGCAAACTGGGAACTGAGACCCAAGCAAATACCAACAAAACCAACAACACACGGCAAAAAAAAAAAAAGCAAAAGCAAAAGCAAAACCAGGCAAAGACAAGCAGAGTAAATCGAAGCGAAACCGGACTGTGGCAGCAACAGCTGCCGATAACAAGAGGAGGAGTGGGGCACACTCGAAGAAAATATATTTAAAATAGTTATGCTGGGTAATACCAGAAGTTTATAGGATATTTCAACTCAATCATGTGGTTTTAAAGTCGCAAAAAGCATGCTTTTTTCAAAATTTTTGTCAAAAAAGCAAGAAGATTAAAGAAAGTGTGGATTTTTGTTACATAACGTATAAGAAAAGCTTAAAAGTTAGATTATAGTAGGTAATTAAATAGTGGAAGGCTAATAAAATAAGTTTTATGTGAAGAAATGTGTTTTCAAGCCACAAAAAGCATGCTTTTTTCAAAATTTATGTTAAAAAAGCAAAAAGATTCATACAAGGTTTGATTGTTAATGAATAATATCTAATAAAAACCGAAAAAGATAGTTTATAGTAGGTTATTAAATAGTGGAAAAGAAGTTTTAAAAATATTTCAAGTCACAAAAGCATGCTATTTACATACTTTCTTCAAAAAAAGCAAGAAATATAAGAAAAAATGATAATTATGGCTTATTTCTTTCCAAAAATACTTGGAAAGCCAGATTTTAATGCATAAAACCATAAATGATTTCTAATACAATGTTTTAAAACAATTTCAAGTGAAAACTTATGCTTTTCAATTCAAAAAAGCATGCTTTTTCTAATATTTAACCAAAAAAAAGCAAGAAAACTCTTAAAACGTTAGATAAATACTCGAAAAGATAGATTTTAATAGGTTATAAAATAATTGGTGGATAATACAAGAAGTTTTCATCACTTTTTAAGTTGAAACTTGCTTTTTAGTTAATGAAAAGCATGTTTTTTCAAATATAAAGAAAACTAATACAACATGTGTTTATTTTACTTCATTTCTTTCCAAAAATAACTTCAAAAGAAACATTTTTATGGGTTACACAATTATAGCTTGTTATTACAAGACATTTTCCATTTATTTCGAGTTGAAACGTGATGTTTAGAAGTCATGAAAGTCATTTTTGAAATAATTTTATTTCTAATGTCTCTAATGGGGTAGATGCCAAGCCAAGTTCATTATTCCAGATGAAGTCATGAAAAGCATGCTTTTTCTAATATTTTCAAGAAAAGCAAATAAACTCAAAAGAATGTTAGTTTTGGCTTAGTTCCTTTTGAAAAATACTTGAAAAGATTAAATTTTATAGGTAAAATATTAGTAAGTGGCTAATAATGTAAGATTTCAACACATTTTAAGTTAAAACAAGTGGTTTTTTAAGAAAAGGAAAGCATGCTTTTTCAATTCTTTATTTTTTTTTGGAAAAGAAAATTTAAAACAGTGTTGGTTTTGCTTTATTACTTCAAAACCATTAAAAAAATACAGAAAATACTTAAATATATGACTGAAACTAAGGTTTTAACATTTTTGAAGTTTAAAAAGCGTGTTTTTTAAATCACTGAAAGCATGCTTTTTGAAAATACTTTCTAGAAAAAAAAAAAAAAACCCAAAATTTGTTGGTTTTTGTTTAGTTCTTGCAAATAGCTACTTTAACAGATAGATTTTAATAGTTAGTTAAGGTTTTCAAACATTTTTTAGTAAAATATTTAAAAAAAAAACGTTTTTTTTTTTCAAAGTTTGCTTTTATTTTTTAAATAAATTTTAAACTTTAACGCTTAAAACATAAATACCAAAGAGAAGAGCTTTTAGATCTCTAAAGACATCACTTTGTCATTTGATAAATGTTCCTGCAAGAATTTCTCTCAGTGCCTGGATGCTGCTGCTGCAGCTCCTGCAGAATGCTGGCGGCTGTTGGCCTGGCCGACAGTTCTCCCCATTCGAGGCCATTTGGCGGGCAATAACAACATTTTTTTTTTGTGCTGCCTTGCACACGCCAACAACCCAACAACAGTCCAACAGTCCAACGGCCCACACGCCCCATCCGCACCGAGCGCCCAACTAAAGAGGCGCCTGGCTAGCCCCCCCGCCGCCACTTCCAGCTACTGCTGCTGTGTGCGAATTCTTTCTTTTATTTTTCTGTATTTTTTTTTTTTTTTTTTTTTTTTTTTATTATTTCGGCATTGGACCAAAACTGACGGACAAGCGTAACAGGCGGTGGGCCAGCTTGGACTGGCAGAGTCTCCACCTCGTAACCCCCTTCATCCAGTTCCAGGGAATCTCCTCCTCGTTTGGCGGGGTGACAGTTGTAGCGTGCAGGATATTCCAAAAGGAAGGGGGGGGGGGTGGTTGGCTGGCAGGGGATGGCAGGGTGGCGGGGTGGCAGACAGACACTGGCATTGACATTAAAGTCAAAACAACTTTTTGCCAGAAGTTTTTCCTTTTGCCTCCCCGCCCTGAGTGTGTTGGGCTTAATGTTTACCACCCCCAGCCCCCACCCCTCCAGCCCTTATCGTCGTAGATGCTCTCGTTTATATTTTTGGTACGTGGGTGGTTTGATTGCGTTTCCTCCTATTTTTTTTCTCTCTGGGGATGGGATGGTAACTGGGAGGTAACTCCAAGCAGAAGCTTTACATAAATTCGATTCATTTCGAATGAAAATCTGAGGAATTTATTTATGGAGGCAGCCAGTCAGGCAGTCAGCCTATTTGCAGCCTATTTCAACTCATTTCACCACAAAGCCCTCTAATTTATTTTCTCTTTCTCTCTTCTTGATATTCTTGTTGCAGTCTGCCACAGTTGCCTCATTAATCACCTGCGAAAGGAGCGATTCTGTCCGCGTTGCAAGATGGTCATCAACAGCGCCAAGCCGAACATCAAGTAAGTATTATGAAGTACTGTCTGTATGTCTCTCTATCTGTCTATATCTGTCTCTGACAACCAGTGATTAGATGGAGGGGAAGGTCCTTGAGTCCTTGCTTTATGTAAATGGCAGCAAAGGATGCTCCCTGGAGAAAGGAAATCCTTGACAAACCTTTTTCTGGCAAAAGCAAATGGATCTTTAATGGGGTAGATACCAAGTCAAGTTCATTATTCAAGTTGGGTCTCTATATTGAATATTTGATTTGCCGACACATTACGGCAACTTTTTAAGAATAATTATTATAATTTAATGAAAGCAAAAAAAAATATTAAGCTGCTTTTGATTATGAAAATTAAAAATTCATCGAAAGCGGCTTAGAGTACGATTGCAGAGAAGCATTAATTTAAGGACTTTAAGGGCAGTTCCTTCTGAGAGTTGGGATTACCTTGGTCCTTTCAAGCCTGTTTTTCCCGCATTTTCCTCGACTTTTCTCTCTAAGCAATTTAAGTTCCGCTGACGAGATTGATTTTCCCCAAGGGGGCAGGGGGTTAGCAAGAAGTTGTAGTTTCTGCCAAAATGTTGCTACAACTTTTGGCAATTTTCGGGTGGGTGAACAAGGTATACATATATATATATGGTATATGGGGGTATGGTGGTTTTTGGAGGCATCCCCAAAATTGGAAGAAGTTGATCAGCAAAACCTTTTGGCCTGGCCCCTCGTTGGCCCAAAAAAGTGGCAAGATGATGATGCCTTGCCTTTGCCACCGAAAAGTTTTCTGGTTCTGCGGTTAACTTTATTTGACGTGGGGAGGGGTGGGGGGGAGTGCCAACATCATCCATCTGTCTGTCCAAGTGTCTTCTGGTGCTGGTCTGGTGGCACGTTTCAATTCAGACCATTTCCATTACGCTGGGCATAATGAAAAACACGTTTCATTCGTTTGTCAGAGAAGTGCTACTCTACTATACCTACTATACCTACTATATATACTACCTGCCTAGCGCTGAAACAGCGAAATATCTATCCCAACTGTTTAAGCCAAAAGCCCCACACAGGAGGGGGGGAGTCTGTATAGAAAACCACCCGCTGGCGAGGCGGCGAACGGCGGGCTTTCCATTCCATGTGGCACGTTGGTTGTAATCTCACACACACACACACATACACCCAAAGAGAGCGCGATAATGAATACAAATTCAAAGAGAGAGGCAGAGACGATAACAGAGTTGGGAGAGTAAATGAAGAGCAGGTGAATTTTGGTTGAGGGGGGGTGGGGTGGGGTACAACCTGCGAAACCTTTTTAGCCAAATGGTGTGAAGTGGCTTACCCCCTCCCCAGCCCCCAAAAACTTGATTATTTTGGTTGTATGGCAAACAAGTGTCTCTTTTGTTGTGCCGCCGACAGTTTTCCATGAATTTTTAGTAGCCCTGTTTATATTAGTGTTAGTACGAGTTGTTAGTCCACTCCACTCTCCAATTAAATTTATTGCAAAAGTTTAGAGTCCCCCCCTATTCAGGTTTATCTTTAGCAAGGTAAACTAAAAGAACTAAAAAGTAAATAGTAAACTTTCGGCTATATATAGTATGTGTGTCAGTTGCCGGCCATATTGTTATTGCTTTACAGTCGGTACCCCCCCTTCCTTCTTCCGATCCACAAAACAATCAAAATGAGATATAAAATACAACAAAATAAAAGAAAGAAAAGAAAAGAGAAAAGAAAAAGACAACGAAACGCATTTCCAAGAAACTCTGAAAACAAATCCAAGTGCGGCTGAGATAATTAACGGGCGGGTCTTGAGATGGCCAGGACCAGGTCTTGGTGCTGGCCTGGTCTGGTCTTGGAATATTTAGCCGACGGCTAATACGAGCAGCTGACAAGAATAACAACAAATATAATAATAACTGATTGCAGGGCGGAGCGGGATGGACATACATACTACAGGGGTATAGCTTCGGCTCTGGGCTTCTGTTCCTTTTTTTTTAATATTTTTATTTTTTTGGCTTAAAAGACTGACAATGAAAAGAAGTTAAACAGCCACAAAAGGGGAGGTTTCAACTCCTGTCAAGGAAGTACAAAAAAAAAGAAAAAATATTTTATTTTTTTTATAAAAAAAACTGAATAAAGTTTGATCATTTAATTTAAAAAAACACTGGAGAGTATAGTAAGATTAAGTTGTAAAACTTTTTACACTTTCCTATCCCCAGACTGAGTGAAAGTAATCCCCATAATATGGTGGCTTCCCCTCCATTTTTTATGCTCCTATCTTTTTCCCATCTCATCTCATAGTTTAATTAATAGGGCTAGATGTAGGCCCTTAAATAGATCCGTTTAGTGATAGACCATTTTCCTCTCCATCCCCATCCCCCCCCTCAAGGCAATGATCGATCGAATTTATGGCTTTGAGGGTTTTATGTTAATGAGAAGAGTTGTTTGATGTTGAAGAGTTCCTTAGTCTTTCTGCGTTCTTTCCTCTTTCTTTGGTTTCTATTCCCAGCCAGACCTTCATTTCGGTCTTTCTTTTAATATATATATAGTATATATGTATGTATATATATACATTTTTGTTGGATTCTCGAAAAATGATTGAAGTGAGCGCCTGTTTCAGCCTTCAGGGGTCGGAACGGCACGGAGCTGAGATGCTTTTCAAAGCAGAATCTTGTCTTAATGCTTTGAGTTCCAGACTTCCACAGTGTGTTTCCTCCTGAACGATTTCTGGCGCGGGGTAATATACCAACCACCACCATTAAGAGGTACACCAACACCGGGGACCAGGGACGAGTCCACCACTATCTCGGCCTCGGTATCGTCACCAGCGCATGCCACCAGAAGCAGTTGTTATTTCTCTCCGGCACCCTGGCTACCCAAGCACCCCAGACTTTTACTTTTATTTATTCTTAGTGTTGCGTGCCATGGAAGCAATAGAAAATTGCATCTGCCGCCTAATTTGTACAGGCTTGTTGTCACCCCTGCCACCGCTTCTTCCCCTTCCCCTTCTGTCCTTCTGCGTCTCTTGTTTCCGCGCCAAGGAAGTCCTGTCCCGACTTTGGCTCCTGCCTTACCTCCTTGCCTCCGTCTATAGTATGTGTGACTTTTTCCATTTCCCGCCGCCTTTGTTCTTCTTTCCATTTCACTGGCCAACGCACCCCTGAAAAGGGATTCTCTCTGATGTCCTTTCCTAATCCGCTTCCTTTTTCTTCTTCTATCCTTTTTGCAGATCGGACACCACGCTCCAGGCAATTGTCTACAAGCTCGTGCCGGGTCTCTATGAGCGGGAGCTGATGCGAAAGCGGGCCTTCTACAAGGATCGTCCGCAGGAGGCGGCCCTGGCCACGCCCGAGCAGAGAGGCGATGATACCGAGCATCTAATCTTCAGTCCCTCGGATGATATGTCGCTGTCCTTGGAGTATGCGGAAATGGGGTAAGTAATCCCCCAAGAAAAAGGGGTTCTTTATAGATTTTTTGAAAACCAAGTCCAACCTGTAAACTAATCCCATCCCTTCCCCTCTTTCTCTTTCTCATTTCTCCCACAGGGAACTGAAATCTGACTCCGACTCAGAGAACGAAATGGTGGATACTCTCCGTCCCAGATACCTCCAGTGCCCGGCCATGTGCCGGGTTAGTCACCTGAAAAAGTTCGTCTACGACAAGTTCGAAATCGACGCCCAGCGCTTCAGCATCGACATCATGTACAAGGTCAAGACGATCGTTCTGCTGGACTACTACACCCTGATGGACATCGCCTACATCTACACGTGGAAACGGGACGCACCCATGCGTTTCTACTATCGTGTCTATGAGTGCCCCCAGCCGGTGGTGAAGCCGGCACCGCGAAGGGTGTTGCCACTGAAAGTGGAACAGTCCGAGCAGGTAGTCGAGGTAGCGCCGGCCAAGGTGGAAGTGCCGGCAATCGAGGCGGCCATCAAAAAAGAGGCATGCAACGTGGAAACGGTGGTGCAGCCACCGAAACTCTCGCCACTCAGCGCCGAGCCCTTGAAGCTGGTGATCAATCGCAATCTCCTGGAGAAGCGTGAGAAGAGCCACTCCCCGCAGTCCAGCTCCAAGTCCAAGAGCACTCCACCGGCTATAGCTCCAGCTCCTGCCTCGCCCGCCGTTGCCCCAGCCAGCCCGACAGTCTCGGAGCCCAACATTAAGCTGAAGATAGATCTGTCCAAGCAGAATAGCGTGACCATCATCAATATGTCCGATCCGGATCGCAAGGAGATCGTGAAGCCCCTCAAGCCGGAGAAGGAGTCTCGCTCCAAGAACAAGGACAAGAAGGAGAAGGACAAAGACAAGGACAACAACACCAGCAGCAGTGGCAGCAGTCCCAAGTCCTCTCCCTCCTCGAGTGGCGACCGCAAGCGAAAGAGTCCCAGTCCACTGACCGTGCCACCCCTGACCATTCGTACGGAACGCATTCTGAGTCCCAACGGAGTCAGCACTCTGAGTCCCCGAGTCACCAGCGGTGGCCTGGAGGACCCCAAGTCCGAGTTTCTCAAGTCCTTCGCCCTCACTCCCATCAAAGTAAAGGTGGAGTCCGCGGAAAAGGGGCTGGAAACGTCGCCGCCTCTGCTAAGCGGCAAGTCGAAGGGCAGTCTGGAGGACAGCCTGCTGATGAAGCCGCCCAGCTGCATGCCCCCCAAGTCGATCGCCTCCTCGAAGCGCAAGAACAAGGAGCCCATGAAGGCGCGCTGCAAGAAGGCCAAGCTGTCGCCTCCCCTGCCGCGGGTCGACTTCAAGATTCGTCTGCCGGGCACCAGTGCCACTTTCAGCGCCTCGGAGGCGCCCTCCGCTGGCACCAGTGCCTCCAAACTGGACAAGCCACTGATGCCGCCACCGGCCAAGCCGCCAATCCTGGCGCCGCGCAAGCTCCAGCCCCCGGCACCGTTCACCCCGCCGCCCTCGCCGATGCACCAGCACTCCGGCATGCAGATTGCGGCGCCCGGCAACCGAACGCCCATCGCCAAGCGCTACCAGCCCATCCTGCCCAAGGCCTCGCGTCCGAATCCCTTCGCCAGTATCCCGAGCGACGTCAATCTCCTCCTGCCAATGGGCACCGAAATCAAGACGATCGGAAACCACAACTCCAACGGCAGCAACTCGTCCGCGAAGTCGCATGTCTATGGTCCCAAGGGGGGCGACTCCAAGATGGGCCCGCCACCCCCACCGCCGACATCGAATGCCTCCAGTCCGGCGCAGAACAACCGGAACATGGGCAACAAGTCCATGCCGGCTCCCAGCAGCAAGAGCTCCAACAGCTCCAACAACTATCTGAACCTGGCCCTGTTCAACGCCAGCAAGTCCAAGGGCAAGGAGGCGCCGCCCGGCTGCCGCACGCCCATGTACACCCCCAACTCCCCCAGCTACTCGCCCAGCTCGCCGCAGTACGTGCCCAGCTACAACATTCCCACGATGCCCACCTACAAGTACACCCCCAAGCCGGCGGCTAATGCAGGATCGAATTCCGGGGGAGGTGGAGGAATCCTCCAGAACATGTTAGGCGCTGGAGGAGGAGCGATGGCGGGCCTGTTCCCATCGCCACCCACCAAGTCGGAGCAGAACTCTGGCCCGGCCAATCCACCCACCAAGTCCGACCAGAACACCAATCCCATGTCCTCCATCTCCATGCCGTCGGGAGGAGGAAACCCTGGACCGGCCAACGGTAATCCCTTCCAGCGCAGTGCCAGTCCGTGCGAAGACGCCCCCGAGAAGCAGCAGGTCAAGGTGAAGTCGCTGCTCAACTCCTGCAACATCAACATACCCTCCTCGCTGTCCATCACCATCTCCCGGGACAACGGAGATCCCTCCTCGCCCGGCAACGGCCAGCATCCGAAGCACAAGACTCCGGTGAACAACTACATCGAGATTGTGAAGCTGCCGGACCAGACGCCGGAGCAGGTGCAGGCCGGCAAGGAGGCCCAGAAGCGCCAGTCGCCCCCGGCTCCCGTCAAGCTGCCCACGCCACCGCCCTCCAAGGCCGTTATCCCCTCGCCCCAGCACCTGATGTCGCGCATGACGCCCCCGCACATGCCCCAGGTGCCCACCCCACCGCCGCCCACCTCCTCGTCGCCGGTGAACAGTGTTCCCCGGGTCATCACCCCGCCGAAGACCTCGCCACCGATGAAGGCGGCGCCGCCCGCCAAGCCAGTACTTACGCCCACGCAGGGGGACAAAAAGACACCGAGTCCCGAGAAGCGCAACGCCGCCCAAATGGGCAGTCACTCGCCCACCTCCAGCGAGAACAAGTCGCCCAAGAACGGAGCGGCCAATGGAGGCGAGGCAGCCCCACAGAACGGGGAGCCCGCGGCCAAGAAGTTCCGGCCCATCCTGCCGCGTCAGAACGCCCTGCCCGAGCTGGCTCCCAAGCTGGCGCCCGCCCAGAACGCCCCTTCGTTGTCCCTGAATCCGCCACCAATGCAGGCGGGCATGAAGAAGGTGGCGCCCAGCAAGAAGTCACCGACTGGCCAACCAAAGATGGCCAACGGAGGACCTCAGGCCGCGCCCCAGAAGCCCAGTCCTCCCCTGAAGAACCAGCCGATGCTCCATCCTCAGGCCAAGAAGCCGGCCAAGAACCCGACACCACCACCAGGAGCTGCCAAGAAGGACCTGCCGGCCATCAATGCTCCGCTGAGCATCGCCTCCAGTGCCGGACAAATGGCCCTCACCAAGGAGAACCTGATGCGGGCCCAGGCCGCCCAAGCCGCTCAAGCCGTTCAGGCTGCCCAGGCCGCCCAGGCTGCCCAGGTGGCTGCTGCCCAGGCTGCCAATCAGTCCAATCTGATGTACATCTTCGCCCAGATGGGCATGAACCCCATGTACGGCTACCAGCAGGCCTACCTCATGGAACAGCTGTCGCGGATGCAGAGATCCGGAAGCGAGATCAACGACTACCTACAGAAGATGAAGGCTGGCGGTGGGGCGGCAGCAGTGGCCCCACTGCCCGGAGATGGGGACGCCAAAAAGGCGATGCCCCAGCTGCCCACCGTAACGCTACCCAGTCCGGGTGCCACTCCGGCGGCGGCAGCCAGTCCAAAGACCTCGCCCCTTCCAGCCGGAAAACTGACGGCCGCGGCCACGGCGCCAAAGACCAAAGGTAACAGCGGCGGGGCAAGTGCCAGACAACAGACAGCGGCCACCGGGACGGGAGCTGCCACAACTCCGTTGCCCAAACTACCGGCTGGCGGCACTGTTGCGAAAAGCAAGTGAAGATGAAGATGGGGTCGACGGGGTCGGTGACCAGACCGGAGACCGGGTCGGAGAAGGAACTGCCGTACTGCGAACTCCCACGTAGCTCTAATTAATTATTAAAGACCCTTTTTTAGTTATTCATTAACGTAACCCGTTCGTTATTTCGTTCTACTTCAAAACTCTCAACCAGAACCAATTCCTCGCCCTAATTACAACGGTGTGGCATCGCGTGGCATCTCCTGCGCCACCAGTACCACCACCGGTATTTATTATTGCTGTTACAAGGGGGACAAGAAGGGGTTGGACACCGGATTCCCGGCGACACCGTCGAGTGTTACCCATCCGGCGAGTGCATCCATCCAAGTGTAAACTGCCGCCCCTCAGGTTACTAGACTCTTACTCTCACTCTGTATATAGAATATCAGTCTCTAGCCATTAAGATTATAAAATATTACGTATCAGTGATGTATTTATTATTCTATAAGGAGATTAAGACAGCGATTCAGAATCGAAATACGAATATATAGATACGTATTTATGAGATAAATGTTAAGCTTAAGCTAAAGATAAATGTAAATACCATACCCAATACCACTACCAATCTGTATAATCATTTTTTACTACAAAAAAAAAACCCAAACGAAAGAAATATTAAATTTAAATTATGCCAAAAAAAAAAAAGACATTCGTTTTTATTGCCAGACGGAGTTTTCAGTTTGACTTTCAAGCGGCACAGCTTGAGGATTATCGTTCCCAAATGCCAATCAAGCGGCCCAAGGTCAGAGGTCGACCTTACCGGACCGACCGCTGGGTCTCGCCGACCATTTCTAATCTCCCAATTGCCTTCCCTTTGCTTGGAAGGGAAAACGACGAGAAAAACGTAAAAATTGTCAAAAAATGTCTTTAAAATGAAAAATGCCCTTCGAGTAGCCAACCGTTTGGAACAAAGAAAATAAGAGATTATATTGGGTTTCTCAATGACACGAATCCGGATGAACTTGGGACTCTTGGTTCTAGTCTTCGGATCCGCATGACTTCCCAGAGTTTTCTCGCCCTGTTGCCGCCGTTTGGCGAAAATTCAATAAAAACGATTGGAAAATTCTGTGGCCTTTGTTAATGTCCGTCCTCTCTCTTACCTTTATCTCTGTTTTCACTCCTTTTTTTTTTTTTTTGTTGTCGGCATTTCTTTTGGTTTCTCGACCAAGTTTCCGATTTCAAAAATTGCCAATTTTCACGAATGTGTCCCCTAAGAGTCCCAGATCCCAATCCGATGCACTCTGAAGTCTAATTCAAGTAATGAATGTGATAAGATAAGCGGGAAAGTAGGGTTGTGGCAACTTCCAACTCCACAAAAAAGGGATGAAAGCGAAGATATATCAGGATCAGCAGGAGGGTTAGACTCCTCCTGACTCCTGACTTCTGAGATTTATGCTTGCAAGAGGTAACTTTTTGGGAGCTTCCGGACACAACTTCCCCCCCAAAAAAAAAAAAATAACAATTAACATACGATTTCCTTCTTGGGGCATCATCATCAGGTGGACCTTCATAATTTATACGGTTGGAGTGCACTGTCGGTGGTTTAAGCCGAAAACTCCAATTACAATAATTAAACCTTTGTGTTGGCAAAAGGTTGGACTTTTCTTTGCCCAGGAGAAACCACAGGAATATTTTTAACGTTTTTCCACCCGTGGACCCATATGAAAAACCAGTTTAATGCGCACGGCTTTTAACGCATTATACCAGCATTTATAAATCATTTTTGGTAAGTACGCGCCAAAGATTCCAAGGAACAGTAGCAATTACCAATGCAGCAAAAGCAGCCGTGTCTGCCCTTCAGGTAGAGAGTCCTTCCCATACGTGGGATACTTCACATGTGTTCCCTCGGCACGAAATAACAATAATAATGAATATTACATTTCGAATGTTTCGCATTGGAAGCCAAAACAGTGGTTGAATCTTATAAAGCAGAACTGGACTGGGTGGAAGAGCAGTTTGCACACTCCAAATATGACAATATATTTTATTTATGAAACGTTCTAAGATATTAGAGGGTGCGATTAGTCTGGGCTCGGGATAAATCCAGACGTGTGCCGCAATTATGTGATAACAACTTTATGTAACAATGTGGGAAGTGTTTTATGGTCATATTTTCAATAAATACATTTTGATGGAAAAAATGGGGAAAAAGTAAGGATATTCAACAAGTTTTTTTTTTATTAGGGTTTCTTATTTGAAGACTATCAATACCCGGTACTCTCTGTATCTAGACAAAACCCATAAATCTTATAGACACCTCTAGGTCCTCACTTCCTGATCTTTAAATGGTCCATTTTATTAAATTAGTCGAGTCGGTAAGCGGCTTTTAAAGTGTCCAACTTGGCCCTTTTATCGTTGACATGGGAAGAGCTCCAGATTCAGATGCAGGATCCAGAAGTGCTGGCTGGGCCCTTGGGCATAATTAAATTCACACTTGGCTAGATTAATGGAGTTAAAGGAAATTAATGGAATAAAAGGAAATTACTTGTGGTTGTTTATTGATTTTGTGGCCAATGGGGAAGGTATAGTAGCTTTAATGTCTGATGATTTCTCTAGAAACCTGAATCTATGTATATTCAGGCCACAAAGGCAAATATAAGTTTTCCCGACATGTGCCTAGTGGACGTGTTAAGTGGCACATCGATCATTCGTATCCTCCAGCATCCACTGACAGCCGTGTGATTGCTAATTAAATTTCATCCTGCCCTTGAAACACTTGAACTTGTCCCAGTCGTTTGGCTAATTTATCGCCATTATGTAACAAATGCTAAGCACATAAATCGCCATTTAAGGGTCTCCTCCATGTCGTGGCGACACAACAAATTGCAATTATTCGTCGAGGCAACACAACAACCTGGCCGAGAAGTGGCGCCTCGACATTTTCGGAAAGAAAAACTTTTTCCCAACTGCGAAAACTTTTGTTTTGGAAATCAATTTAAGTAACTTTTCGCATCCCCTCTGTAGTTAGTTGTCGCAATAATGAAAGCTATAGCTGTTCTGTACAGGTTCTACCCATGTAATTCAATCTGAATTCATTAATCAGAAACAGTTGTTGGCTAGCGAACTGGCAGAGATTGTGAATTACGGAGGAGATTTGATCAAAAGCGACCGTACTCCGACAGAGACTTATGAATAGACTTTATAGACAAGATGAAAAAATGAGAAAAATGATACAATTGCTCTTGTTTGCTATTAATTTACGCGACAGTTACTCACCGCTATTTTCATAGCTTCCGGTTGGGATAAAAAAGAAAAATTATAAATGTCTTGAGATATCCATTACACTTCTGGCTTTGACTTTCTTTTCTTTTTGGCCAATTTTAATTGCATAATTTTTGCAACAGTTTGTGCCATCTGTCGTCTGTCACTTGTTAATTCAATTCATCAAACATAATTCGGTCATGGAATCAAATAAAATGCCAAAATTAAGATCCAATTAGTGTGGACATTATGAATATGAATGGTCATGGCCTCAAGTTTGTTTCATCCTCGCCTGACTGACTGCCTCCCTGGCAGCCTGGCTGCCTGCCTGCCTCTGGACTCACTAATTTTTTTGCGTGCTCTCTGACACGAAAAAAATATAAATGCGAATCCCGAAAAAATGAAAAAAGTATCAATTTACCAAGGGGACGAAAGCGAAAAGCGGGTGCGATGCGTCAAGGAGACGCCGCAGTTCTTCGACGGACTCGAGACAAGCCCAAATCAACGAAGAATCCTGCACCGGAAACAGGAATAATAACGCTCAGAATACACTGAGGAAATACAGTACCCATCTGGGATAAGAGTTAATCAAGTCTTACTATATTTTGGGGGTTAATTTATCAAGTAGAGTCCATTAAACAATAATTTTGTAAAGGAATAGGTTTTAGAATTGTAAAACTTGAAATAAATTGATTTTGAAAAGAATGGATACCCGGTACTTTAAGAAGATACAGAGCTGAATAATGGATGGATTTATACCCGGTACTTTTAGAGGATAAGGAGTTGAGTAATGGATGGATGGATACCCGGTACTTTCGGAAGATAAAGTGTTTAAAAAGTATAAGGTATCATATAGTCTCGTATAGAAATCGCTCTTAAAGTTTATAGTAGAAAAACAAAGATATACCCGGTACTTGTAAAGAAATTATTTCAAAATAGTACCGGATATCATATATATTTAGAAGATAAGAACTTGAAGTAGTATCGGGTATTATATGGTCTCTACTATAAAGTTTTCTTTGAGGAAGCTTTATTTTAGAAAGTTTTCTTTGTCTATAGTCTTAAAAATAATATACATGGTACATGTAGAAGAAAGATTTCAGAATAGTACCGGGTATCATATATTTCTATAAGATAAGAGCTAGAAAGAGGATCAGGAACCATCTAGTCTCTTCTACAAAGCATCTAGCCGGTACTTGTAGAACAAGAATTTCAAAGAAGTACCAGATATCATATAGTTAACCAACTTTTCCTGTTTGAATCCAATACTCTTGTATTTTTAGAGCCGTTTTACCAAGCTACCTCCTGGCACAAAACCTTTCTCTCAGTGTCTTAATTCGGGGAATCGAGAGGGCAGTAAGTACGTGTCTTGAGACATTGGGGTATACCATCGAGTGGATCTGCAGCGATGAGAAGCTCACAATGATTGATTTGAGTGGCGGGCTTACTCAATTGTTTCAAACTGGCCGAGTATTGGTAATGGGCAATGGATGGAATGGTTTTAATGCTTCTTTAAAAGTCACATGGCCAAGAAGACAAATGAGTGGGGTCATTGGGAGGCTTTATGAATGGTGGGTGGTGGGATGGTAGGATGGCAGGCAGTAGGCAGTACGCAGTAGGCCTACCATCCTAATGGCGCCAGTTTCAGTGTCTGTTGTAATTAGTTGATTACACAAGCCGGGAAGCTCCTTTTCACCACTCATGCCCCTTTTCAGCCTGTCACTGTGTTCTCTTTGGTTAGACGGAGGTTTTTGCTGTTTGCATTGCAAATGAAGTTGCCACACAGCACCACCTCCCTCCCCCCTGGGTGGCTTGGGTGGCGTTTTCGGTGGGTGGTGGGGTGTTG